TTACATTTTCTCATGAGAAAAAAAAAACAAAAAACAAACCTTACTTTCAAGCCCAAAAATAAACGGGAAAGTTTTTTTTTCAGCTTATTGACATACAATATTATGTACAGATAGTTGCAGAAGAAATAATTTCTGTTTTCATAAGTAAATGCCAACAGTTAGCCACAGAATATTTCTGTTATATCACCCCTTCGTAACTGAATTAACAGAAATGATAATTCCCCCTCATTGCATTTCCTTTCACTGTCCCCTTAATTATAAAATTATGGATTTTATAACCCCCAATACTAAGGTGTATATTTTATATATCACATCCACATTTTGTGTTTATATGCTCTGCCAAGAATTCAAAAAATTGTATTGGTCTGGGAAGAAGAGGAAATCCATGGTTTGTTCATCCCAGAATAGCTTTAGTATATCTCACATATAAAATTGTTGTTTAAAAATATATAAAGTTTTGTTAGAAGCAGCCTAAATGTCCATTGACAGAGGAACGGATAAAGAAGATGTGGTACAATGGAATATTACTCAGCCATAAAAAAGAATGAAATAATGCCATTTGCAGCAACATGGATGAACCTAGAGATTGTCATACTGAGTGAAGTAAGTCAGAGAAAGACAAATATCATGATATCGCTTATATCTGGAATCTAAAAAAATGTTGCAAATGAACTTATTTACAAAACAGAAATAGAGTCACAGATGTAAAAAACAAACATGGTTACAGGGGAGAAGGGGGAAAGGGATAAATTGGCAGGTTGGGATTGACATATACATACTACTATACATAAAATAGTTAACTAATAAGGACCTACTGTGTAGCACAGGGAACTCTACCCAATATTCTGTAATGACCTATATGGGAAAAGAATCTAAAAAAGAGTGGATATATGTATATGTATAACTGATTCACTTTGCTGTACAGCAGAAACTAACACAAAATTGTAAATCAACTATAGTCCAGTAAAAAAATTTTTAAATTAAAAATATATATATAAAGTTTTGTAATTCCAGATGATGCATTTGAAGTTTATACGGAGAATTTCCATTTCTCACCATTCTCTCATACCTTAACTGTGTGATAACAGGTTCTATCCCCACCATTCTATGAATGAAATAGCAATTGAAATATAGGTTGGATGTAAATAAATTTTTTTTTTACCTAATTCCAAAGGTAACATAGTGTCAGTATAGAAAGCTGAAAAGCAGTAAGAAAATTAAATATCCATAATCCTATCAACTGTTGGTTAATTTTGGTATATTTCCAACTAATCTCTTTCTGTGTGTATCAATATACTACTTTTGTTTTAATAAAAGGAATGAAAAAAGGTACACACTGATTTGGAGTCTGCTTTTTCCACTCAGGAATTTATCATAGTTTCTCACATTGATTTTTTTTTTTAAACAATAAACTACCATAAAATCCTTAATATTTTTGCTAGACACATGGATTTAAATTTTTTTTGTAAAACTATACAGCTTTGCTCACAGCTCTGATGATTTTTTTGGGATAAACTCTAAATGGAACTGGTGGTTTAAAAGTCATGTCCATTTTAAAACTTTTAACATACAGAAAAGTTATGTTAAATACTAAAATTTGAGGGTACTGGTTCCCCAAATATGTTTACTTACGTTGGTTGACCTTCTTATTCTTTGCCAACTAATAAGAAAATGTCAACTTCTTTTGTTTGCTCTTTCATACCAGTCAGGTTACTTTTATATTTCTTTTACTAGTCATACAGGTTTACTTACAATTCTACAAATAAATCTTGCTCATTGTTAATTTTCCAGCATTGTTTGCAAGATCGTTTCAACAGAAAAGTTCTCCCCCTTATCCGCTTCAGCTGACCAATTCCTACCCCTCCTAACTCTAATGACATTTACTGCTTCCAAGAAATTTGGCACTTAATGCCCCCCACCCCTTCCTTGCCTTTTTCATGCATGTATATTTCACCTTCAATAAAACATTTAGCGGCTCAAGGACAAAGGCCCTGTAGCGTTGGAACCCATTATGCTAACGGCCCAGTGTTAACAATTTACCTTCCCAGGGGTACTTTCCTGGGAACACAGGGAAGGCTAATTGACTTTAGCATTGGGAGAGCAATCACCAAACCTTTCGTGATTTTGAAATCAGGCCATGAGAGGCTTCAGAAGCAGAGGCTCAACCACGGAAACCTCAACTATTGTCCCGAATTATGCCTGACTAATGCTAAAGATTGAGCAAGGGTCCAGATGTCCGGACCATCTGGAGTGCCCCAGGTCCAAACTGGAGTCCTGAGGGGTGTCTGCCCCAACAGTGACCCACTGGCTGGGCTCTAGGTTTCTATTTTCGGGTCGATGCGCTTGATTCTTTGGTCCAGCTTTCCGGAAAAAGGATAGTGATGACCGCACCGGCCCTTGATTCCTTTCCACCCTTCCTGAGTAGGTTGTTAACAGTCTGTTTACGTAGAGGCGGTGAGCCAGCCATTCCTGCAAGCCGCCGCGACTCTCCTTCAGGTCTGCAGACAGAGGTGTCAGAGACAGTCCGGGTCCAAGGAGGAGGCGCAAAGCTCCCAGCCCACCGGGAGGGTTAGCCCAGCGCAAGGGCCTCGCCCCGCCTCTCCAGGCCTAAGGGCCGCCCCGGGCGCCGAGGCCCAGCCTTGCAGCCCGCCCATTGGCCCCGCAAGGCCCTCTCCTTCTCTCCTGCAGCGTTCTAGGCCACGCCCATCTGCGTGACCGCACATGACACTGTGAATCCGGGGATTATTGCGTCCGGTAACTGAACTCTATCTAAAAGGTCTCTCCTGGCTTGGTCTAGGGTTTCCCGCCGATATTCCCTAAAATGACGGCGTCTTGCGCGCCTCGCCAGGCACCTCCCGGCCGCCCAGAGAGTCCCCCTTTTCCTTGGTGCTGCGGCGGGATTCTTTTGCTGTCCTTAGTGCTCGCGTTGCCCATATTCTCCGGTAGGAGCCTGGAGAGAGTGTGCGCCCTGGCGGCGAACTGGAGTGGGTCGGGGAGCAGGCAGGCCAGAACCGAAGGCCGGGGGAGCTTTGCTTGTTGGCTCCGGGCGGAGGCGCGAAGCTGGATCCACCCGGGGTCGTGTGGAGTTAGGGTTGAAGGCGTGGCCGGAATGTCCTGGGTCTTGCTGTGCGGGGACCCACCGGGGTGGAGAACACGTAGTGGCCGAGGAGAAGGCTTGCTTGGTGGTGGGCACTGAGCGGTGAGGGGTGGTAGGCTTGGTCGTGGTTTACCCCGGGTCAAGCTGGGTCCCTAGCAAAAGTCTGTAGGGTGTTTCCAGGACTGAGCCAAGTCGGAACAGGAGCAGGGACCCGGTGCTGGTGGGGACGGCTTGCTCTTGAGTGCCCCTGTGTCTGGGGATGCTGCTAGGCTGGTGCTGTGCCCTGGGGGAGGAATTGCCTTATGTTCTCTAGGACGGTGATGCCTTGTGTGGGGGGTGTTTGTGCCCTGCTGGGGGAGCCTTGGGGAATGTACCCTGGTGTGTGCTTTGTGGAAGTCGCCAGCCCACTGGTGCCCAGTGTGGGACAAGGAAGCTGCTTTGTATGGGGCTTACCAAAGCAACCTAAAAAACATTGGTAGCCAATCCTAGTGAAAAATGAGTATCCTGAAAATGAACTATAAATGATGTTCATCTAGTTTTCCCATACAGCTCATAAACTAGAGCTGAGGCCCATTCACTTTATTTTTCTTTTCCGTGTTTCATTGAATCGAATAAATACTTTAAATATATGCCCCCAAAAAGGCATGCTTATTGTATAAAACATACACAATCAAAGGACATCCATTTTTAATACTTTGGTATATTTCCTTCTGTATATACACGTGTGTTTCCATGTCCAAGTTATTTTTAGGATCTATTACATATACAGTTTGTATGCTGCATTTTTTCTTAGCAGCATTCATTCAATAAATACTTGCCTTCTATATGCCAGGTCCTGTGCTGGTCTTGGGTCCCCAGTGCCAGGCACACGTTAGGAAATAAAATATTTGCTACAACTTATTGGGAGTGGTAGGCAGTAGCCAAAACATAATATTAATGAATATGTTATAACCCAAGAGAAGTACCCAGGAGGAAAGGAGCATGATTCTCTGACAGCATTTAACAAATGACTGGTGGAAGAGAAGACTTTTCTGTTCATCAAACAGGCCAAACTCTGCCCTTTGCCTTCTGTACATGCTGTTCCCTTGGCCCTTGGCCTTGGAACATTCTCCTTCTGCCTCTTGCATAACTGGCTCCTTCTTATTCTTCAAAGTCAGTTGTGATGTTATCCCCTCAGAGGGACCTTCTCTGACGCACTGTTTCCGGTGGACACACACACTTCAGCTCAATTCCCCCCAACTGGTAGTCACCCTCCCAAGCTATGTTTTCTGTTCTCTCCTCACTAGAATGCAGAGATCTTGGCTGTCTTGTCACACTTGTGGTTGCCTAAGTGTCAACACTCTTGTATAACTCTCAAGTACCAGAAAATTAAAGGTAACATTCGGCTGAGGCTTAGAGCCCAGGAACAACTTTTCTTGCTTCCAGGAGGAAGGTTCTCTAAAGAGCCATGCTTAGGATGGACTTTCTGTAGTGCCTAAAAACCTAAGGCAGGGACAGCTGCGGGTCAGAAAGGATCTATCTTCTGACTGTAGACTCCTCAGGGTTCTCAATACTCCAGTCTTGCTTGTTATGGATCATTTTGAAAGTTTATTTCTCTGCAAGAGAGTTGTGGGTGATGGAAAAGCAGTGCTAACAAAAAATTAAAAGGAATTTTTTAAAGAATAATAATGTTTAGAATAGGCTTAAAGCTAGAAGTTGAAGGAGATGATGAAAACTATTCAAAATAGAGAAAAATAGATAAGCAAAATGAATAGGACGTATCAGGGAAGATAACAGCTAGAAATGAAGAGGAAAAACAAGGTTAGGTTTAAGGTTGAAAGGTAAAATCAGGATAGGTAAGAAACTTAGGTAAGGTACAAATGAGAACTCACTATGTTGGGCAGGGAAAGTATGTGAATATAATAAACATGCGCTGAATCGGCTCATGAGGAGAAGGTTTTGTAATCGAACAGTGTTGTGCCTTGGGAGTCTTGCCATCTTAGAGGTAGTTGCCAAATGGTAGATCACAGAAGGGACCAGTCTCATTCCTCCAGAATGAGTCTGCTTTGTGGGACAAAACCTACAATTTCCTTTTATGTGTGGTCTCTTCTGCCTAGTTTAGGTCTTTTCTTTTGAAAGAAGCCAAGATCAATAAGTGCTTACACAGTAGTTTCTTAGTTTCTTACTCTGCATATTACAGTGCAAGAAGAATAGTCCTTATTGGTCAATTGCTAGGTTACAATAATACTGGGAGATAGATAGAGAACAAAAGAAATTAGGTGGTCAAATCTTTCTCCAGTGCATAAAGTTTTAAGATGATTATTTTCAGTATTAGATTCATGATACTGTATTCTTTACCATTGGTTTCTGTTTGACAGCAGTTTAACTTTGAGAACCAAAGTGTTTTGAATAGCGACTATGAGGCACGTACTGTGTGAGGTGTTGTGTCCACACGGCTGAATGGAGTCCACAATATCATGTGTTAAACATGAAGACATGTGATGGTGAGCTGAGAGATCCATGCAGAGGAGAGTCCGAGTGCTACCGAACTCAGGTCTGGCTGCTCGCTGCTCAGAAAGTCAATGCTTGATAGACAAGTGCTGGTAGGAATGGAAAGGTTTAATCAGAAGGCTGTCATCTGGGGAGAAGGCAGACTCCGGCCCCAGAACTAACTCTGAAGATTCTGCTTGGCCATGAAAGTTTTTTTAAGGGAAAAAGGGGAAGTAATCTCAGTTAATCATTGAGATAGGGAGTCATATTTATTGACATCTACCATTGCCTGCAGACTTGTCGACTCCTTGTGATATTTCTTTAGGTGTTATCTGTTTCGAGTTTGCTCTCGAGGTTACTGAAGGGAAAGCTGGGGGAAAGATCTGATCATCTGTTAATTATTCTTCCTTTCTATTTCTCTGATCTAAGAAGAGAACCAACAGGTTAGGCAGAGTATTGTGTGATCAAAAGATGTGAAAGGTGTGCTTGGGCCAGAGGTTATAGCTACCCAGTGTGGCAGCAGTAGGGCAAAGGAGGCAAGAGGAAGGCAGCGGTGTAGATCACAGAGTGAATTATTATGGAAGAACAGGATAGTTAGGAATGAAAAATTACTATCATAAAAATCAGACTATGGTGTTATTACCTGTTCTTTTTGGGCACCTTGAGGCCTTTCGTTTGCCCTAGCACAATGCAAATCTAAACTAAGCTTGCTTTAATCTCCCCAGGCTTAGTAGAAGACCATTGCTTAAGGACTAAATTGCAGACAAACGTTGTTGTCATAACCATACGAGGGTTCTAGATGACAGACAGTGATGGAAAGCGATGTGGGTAGTGGAACCAGGTTTCCTGGCTTGACCCTGGGTCTGCTACCTACAGGGAATGTATTCATGGGCAAATTACTTCACCTTACCGTGGCTCAGATTATTCATCTTAAAGAATTGGAAATAGTACACAACTCATAGGAAGATTGTGAAGGATAAGTTAGTTAAAAAAACACTAAAATAATGATTGGCACAGGTTTAATTTGCTATTTCTCAAATGATTAATATCACCACGGTTTTAAGAAACAAGTTCTCGAATTGTTCATTGCTAATCTTTAGGAAAAATTATAACCCACAGTCTTTGGAGTTCACTTCTAATAATGTTAAAATACTATTTCTAGTCATAGAAGTAATATAAAATGGGCTTATAATAAAATATTAAATACTTTGGCATGAAAGAAATTAAAAATTCTCATAAAGTGAAATGTTTGTAAATAAATGAATGAAAGAAACGCAAAATAGGAAGAGAAACAGCAGTGAAAAAAGTGATGATTTGAAGATATTTCTCTAGCAGTTTGGCTGAACAGTAAAGAATTTGAATTTTGATCCAAGGATGTATAAAACTGATAACAGTACCCCTTCAGCTTTGGCACTAGGAACTAGAAATGCAGTGATGAATGAGACATGGTCCTCAAGAAGGCTACAGTCTCCTACTGAAATAAGCAATGAATAATTACAGTATGAAAAGTGCTATGAAAGAAGTAAATTGGGGCACCATGAGGACACAACCCAGTGCTTTGAGTGAGAGATGTCAAGAGCCTCAAGGAAGAAGTGGCATCTAAGATGAAACTGAAGGATGAGTGGGTGGGAGGAATGGCAGGGTCTCTGGTCAAAGCTGAAGTAATATGACGCAAGGAGGTCTAGAGTGCTAAAGTAAGTTGAGTAATTTAATGGGCACTACTAGTGGAATTGAATGTGGCTTAGAAGACTGTGCAAGAGTGAGCAGATATTAAAGCTCTGTTAGCCACGTCAAGGAGCCTTAGACATTATCATGAGGGAAACAGGGAGCCATTGAAACATATCTGACTTGGAAGGGCCTTGGTCCTAGTATCATATCAGTATTACTCTGGTGGCAGTGTGAAAATGAACTGAATGAAAGGTGGCAAGACCAGTAAGGAGACCTATTCAGAAACTCTTGTAGCAATCCAGATAAGTAATGATAGTGGCTTGAATTAGAAGTAAAGGTGGAAACAGAGAGAGGGAACAGGCATTTCAGTTGTGGAAACCATGTGTCTTGTTTGCTGGCTTCATTATGTTATTTGAGATAGTGTGACACATTCCAAGTGGAGCTGTGGGGAGGCAGTTGAACACATAGACTTGGCACCCCA